AGAAATTTTACAAAAGTGTGAATGAGTAAGTAAGCTAAAGGTTATGAAGAAGAGAAAATATTTCATGGATAGGATTACATTTATGATCTGGGAATGATTTGAACTGAGGCTTGAATACATTCTATTTTTTGGTGGTTGAGTGCATTTCAAAAGAAAAGGACAGTTTGAGGAAAGAAAATAGCAGGAAACTGGGAGAAAAAGACATATTTGTTCATCAAGAATGCGATATAACTTGTGGGAGTAAGAAAATTATGAAGACCTGCCATAGGTGTTTTGAAGAGTGCTTTGGAGAAATGACAAAAGATGAAGAATTAGATTAGCAAGCAACATAGATACCTAATTGCATTCAGGAAAACACTAACGGTCCACTAAGTTACTGCTTGCTAGAATATGAAGATGTGGTTTCTGCCCTTGGGAATTCAGTCTAATCAGAGAGATAGATGATTATTACAGATAAGTAAAAATATATATATACTTTATGGTAAATATCACCTGGGAAAGAAGGGATAAATTCTGGTAAGTACGCATCAGAAAGGTTTTGAATAAGCTTATATAATTAAAAAGTGTGTAGAACACTTGGTGCATAGTAAGCATTCAGATATTAATTCAGTCTCTTTATGTGTTGGGATTGACACATTTTTTTTTTAGTTGAGAAGGTAGGAAATGAATAAGAATAAAACATGAGTGAAGGTCCACAGTCCTTTAGAAAAGGGAGTTTAGGGAACAGGGATGTAGGAGGGCTATGGCTTAGAATTCAAAGGATGAAAAGCAGAAGCAGTGATTTGATGTTTCAGAAATAGCATTGACAAGTAAGGTAAACACTGTCTACTGAAAGAGTGAGTGTGAGAATTCCAAATGATGTGACAAAAAAAGCCATGTTGGAACAAAGTTAGGGAATCTGAGAAACATAATTTAAAACACCAAAGGCTTTTTCTTTTGGTGGCAGTTGGATAGACACAACAGGAGCCAGATACCTGGGTATCGATAAAGTTATTATCCATGTAGTTTAGATAAGAGAGATGATTATGGACTTGAAACAGGATGTAGGGAGAAAAAAATATATGCTTACAAATAGAAGAGAAGAAAAATAACCTGCATACTATGCATTTTAGAGTAGAATAATTGAAATAAGGTTCAAACACACAGGTAAATACTGAAAGTACATGGATGCATACAGTCTATACAGACACATGTTGTCTATCCATTCTTCCAAAATGTGAATATAAATATGAATATATTAAACGTGTGTTTTGGTATTTTTGATCCCCGAATCTTGACTACTTTAGTTTCTGTCTCTTCATCCATATCTTCATTCTCTTTCTTGTGTATTTATTCATCTTTATGTGCATATGTCTTTTCTTTTCTAAGGTCAAGTTTTTTGTCCCTGTATACCCTTTGTCTCACTTTGAGTGTAACTTCTCTTAATTAGTGCCACTTTTTATACCTCTTTACCTGTTTTTTTCTTTTTCTGTTGTGGTATAAAACTTAGAAGTGTATTTTTACATAGTACTAACTGAATACATTTTTGACTCCAATCGAAAATTTCAAGAGCCCATAAAAGACTCATTTCTTTCTCAAAAGAAACAAAACCTGTTTTTTAATCTTCATGGTTCTTAGTTGTTTTTATACATTTGTGCTTCATAATAGAAAAGTAATTTTCATTCCATTCCACATATACAGGCTCCTTGAGTGATGCTAAACTCAACACATGGTGCAAGATTAATCACATTAAGATGGAATATTTGAAAGATATACATTCAAGAATGTTTTCAAATCAGGGGAAGAGAAATTATAGCTTAAAGCATTAGAACATTATTTCCCAAGTACCACATTGCATGGGCAAAAAAATGTTGTGTTGATAGGAACTTTATCATCAAGGACTCCTGCCACCAATATTTTTTAGTCTGCAGAACAAATATGTGCTGTTACACTGCTTATTAGCACATATTACCTTTTTTTCATATTTTCACCTTTATTTTTCTTCCATTCTTTTTTGTTTGTACCATATTTAATTATGACCCAAAAAGTTCATATCATTAGTTGCAGAAGTTAGTCAAGTTTACATTTTTGCCTCAAATATATTTTCTATAATGTCTATGCACATATTTGGTTTAATTATGTGTATAATTTTTAAGTCTTTATAAAATGTTTTTGATAAATGTCTAAATATGCAGAATTATCTCTGTTGTATATACACCTATCTCAGTGAAATGTAACTTGGCTAAAGATCGCAGTTGAAGATTGGATTGTCAGCATAAAGGAAATATCTGTTTTAATGGGGATTTTTTTAAATGAACAAAATAGTTTTTCTTTTAAAGAAATTGTCCCAAACCCTCAGTTATTTAACCTCTTTTAGGTGGGGAGCAGCCTATTCCTCTCTGGAAT